AGGGAAGGGAAGGGAAGGGAAGGGAAAAGTCTTTTTAAGCCAAGCCAATATGAAACAGAAGGGGATCCACTCTGTGGGAAATGGGCTGGCTTGGGTCTGTAAGAGAAATCCCTGAGGCAGGGGAAGAGACTGGGACCTGCTCTGACCCATGGGGCTGTGGGGAGGGGAATAGATCTGCCCAGAGCCAGAGAATGCTCAAGGGACCAGATCTGACAATGGCCCCTACAGAGGGAACTGTCTTTGCTCAGGAAGGAATGGAGAGGCAGGGAAGCCCTTCAGAGCAGAATGGGGAAACTAATTTCCTTTGCCAAACAGGCCAAGGAAGGTAAATCACAGCTGGGCTGTGTGAGGAAAAGGACTCTGCTCAGAGGTGGGTAGGACAGGCTGGGACTGCCCCTCCACACAGGCAAGGAGCCACCTCAGTGTGAGTAGCACAGTGCTGGGCTGAGGAAAGGCAGCAGGACAGACCCACTCTGAGAACCTGTGGTTGCCCTGAACCCATCTTTGGGGTAGGGGAGCTGGACCAAGGTCCACCTAGCCAGAGAGAAGGCCCTGAAGCTGGGCTTCCTTCCTAGGCCTTGTTCCTGCCCTTACCTTCCTCCCAGCCTCATTGTTGTGCAGGTTCATGAGCGCTCGGCTGGAGGAGATGCCACGGCTCCTCTCAGGATTGTCTACGAAGGCTTGAGAAAAGGCAATCCCATAAGACAAATTATCAGAGCAGCCCGACCACTGGAAACCTGCAGAGGGAAAGCAGCCATGAGATGAAGAAGAACCCCTGGGAGGAACTCCCAAAGGGCTGAGGGACATGGAAAAGGGCAGTGTCTCCTCCCCTGCTGAGGGTCTTCCGCATGGATCTTCTCCTCTGCCACCCCCATCCCTGCTGCCAGCCTCCTCCTTCACCTTCAGGGCTGATTCCTCGGACCTTGCGGTCACAGCCACACTTCTCCAGCTCCCCACGGCTGCAGGCACGAGTCACAGCAAAGGCAACACCGGCGGCAGAGATGGCATGGATGAAAGCAGACTCCCGTGTGCCTGCAGTGGGGCGAGAAATGGCACCAGTCTGCAGAGGGGGAAGGCCGGTGGGTCATGATGGGGGGGAAAAGAGGCTGTGACTGCATGCAGGAAGGATTCATTCAGATGTGAGACTGCTCAGGAGAAATCACTGTCAGGATGCTGCAGTCCCCAAAGGCTGGAGCCAGCAAGGGAGATGGCTCTGTGGGGTCCTTCTGGGTCAGCACCCTCACCTTTGACACCCTCAGTTCCTGGGCTGGGTGTCCCATTGAGGGAGAGAAGTCAGTAGCCCCAAGCGAAGTGAAAGGGGAGCTGTGGTGGGGGATGCCAGCGGCTGAGCCTCCATGCAGAAGGGTTTGTCAGGGAAGGACCCTGCCACCTTGTCTTTAGGAGCCAGAGGGACCCTGCTTATAGCTCCCTATATGGCTTCTTTGTGCAAACACATGCAAAATCTGTTCCTTGCTGGTTTTTCCCTGTCCTGCAACAAAAAGGGACTGCAGCTTCAGATAAAAAGATTTGATTTGAGCCACTACTGCAAAGGGCTGAACTAGTGGTAGGGGGAGAAGATCAGTCTGCAAAGATGGTATCCACAATGGTCCAGATGGGACCAAAAAGCCAAGTCTGGCCAAATGAGGAAGAGGTTTAGCCATAATATTAATATTTGTAACAGCACATGCATTTGGTTCTGTTTGTTCTGTGTTGACGCTTTAACACTAGCCCAGGAAAGGCTGATGTGCCAAGGGCACCCTTGGGCATATTGAAGGGACCGCATGCCAACTTTGCCTGCACCGTCTCCCCCTCGCTGACCTTGGATGGCAACCTTGCCGAAGACCTGCAGCCCCTGCAGGGTGGAGCAGTTCCACCGGCGAGAGTGAAACTGGTGCTGGCACTCCTCGACAGCCAGCTCCGCACCTCGCTTCACCGCATCCATGGCTTCCACCTGCCGTCGGCAAATGCGGACCTGCTCTTCTACCAGTCCTGTCAGACCCTCACAGCCCCCGGGGTCCCTGAGGACTGCCCGCAGGGAAGTCTGCTTGGCCAGGTACCTGTGGGGCAGGGGAGAGACTCAGTCGCAGATGGGCTAGAGCCAGGGCCATGTCTGTGTGGGACTAGCCCTCTATAGACTTATTTCAGAGCAGGAAGGGGGCAGGGAAGGGGACGTGCTGCCTCTTTTCTGTGCCAAACTGAACATTGCTGCTCCCCATCCTGGTTTGCACCTCTTCAGCTTCACCATTCCTCTCCCTTCATGCTCCCAGAGATGCCCCTCCTAATCTGCTGCCTTTGTGTTGCCCAGGTTCCTTCTTCCTCATTTTTCTCACAGATCTGCCTGTTTTCTTGTGAGACAGCACCTCCCCAGGTGACTTTCCAGTCCAGACAGTACAAGTGCAAAGCATACTTACAGCCAGGTCATGGCAAGGACATGCTGCATGGGGATCAGCACCACGTACAGCCGCACCATCTCCATCCTGTCCCCGGCAAAACTCCACCTTCAGCCACGGTGCAGCAGCTGCCTGAATCCCCTCCTGCGACTTCCCACTGCCTCTGCCCAATAGTCACTCTCACAGCAGCTCCAGCCCAGCACTGCAGAGCACAGGTAGCCCCCGGCCTGGGAAATGACCATGGGCTGCTCTGGTGTGCCTACCAGCATTGGAGACCCAGTGGCCTGCAGAAACCTGCCGGGTTGGCCCTCCGAGGGCATCCACGCTCGTGCTGTTCCCTACCTACAGCTCAGGCATCATCATGGGAGAGCTCTGAACTAGGGCTCTGGGGCAGGCATCCGTCGGAGGGAGCTCACATGGCTGGGGACAGCACCAGTGTCAGACCCCTGCTCTCTGCCGTCCTGTTAGCAGATGATCTGGTTGTCTTCTTCCACAGTCAAGTCACTTCATCAGCAGAAAGCAGCCAGAATTCCAGTCAGCAGCAGACAGAGCCTTCCACACAAGAAAATCCTGACAGAACCAAGCAGCTGTCGTTAGACCCACCAGCTCATTATTGCTTTGTCACCAAGCCCTTTGGGGAGTCGGAGAGTTTCCCTGCAGTGACAGCTCACGGGAGCAGAGAGGGGAAGACCTGCTGCCTCCCTCATCCCCAGCCGCTGTCTTTGAGGACCCTCCCTCATCTGCCTCCTCCAGGCTGGAGATTTTTCTTTTCTACCCTGCAGCCCACATAGCTACGGCAAACAGACAACAGACGCAGC